ATTTTTTTGGGATCATTGCATTTGCCGCGGCTGACGGTCGCAGTGTTCGCCGTGGACGTATGGTTATCGAATGACTTTCGGTCCATCCCGCCACCGTGCCGAGCTTGTGGGCCAAAGCCCAGTGGGATATTTGTGCTCGCCGTGGACGCATGATCATCAAATGGCCTTCGGCCCACCCCGCCACCGTGCCCGGCTTATGGGTCTGAGGCCCGTGGGGTATTGGATGGGGTCTCGTCTGAGGTTTGTCGGGGGGGGGGCTTGGAGGCATCCCGCCACCGTGCTTGGATTGTGGGGCTGAGGCCAATCGGATGGTTGATGGGTTCCCTGGGGCGTCACCGCGCCGTGCTATGTCAGACTACACGTCCTCATGTCCGCGTTTCCGTTTTGTTTCGAGTTTTTTGACCCGAGTGTTGTTTTCGCTGAAACGTTGGCCTCATTCTCGGACTACCGCTCGTTCCGAATCGTGTTCCCGCTGCAGCGCTTGCCTCATTTCCGCGTTTCCGCTCGTTCCGAATCGTGCACCCGCTGCAACGTTGGCGTCATCATTTCCAGCGCCATGCCACGGCAGGGTTTTCGGTCCTTCCAAATCGGTCCCACAATATAGAACATGATTTCCCAAGGAAACCATCGGAAGTGATATCAAATGCGGTGTGGATTCGTTGATATTCTGGTCCGCAGAAGCCTCACGTTGGGGCGTCGCCACGCCATGCTATGTCACGTTACGCATTGATCTTCATTACCATGCTATGCCATGTGATGGTGTGCAATGCTACGACCTCCGATTGTGCGTATAGACAGGAGATCTACGCAATGGTGAGGGATGGAAGGGACGGGTAGAAAGTCAGACGTGACGCGAGTGCACCTAGCTTGCTCCCCCCCCTTCTTCTCCCCCTCCCATTCCCCACTTCCCCCCCTTCTTGCTCCCAGGCCCGTCTCTCTTCTGCCCCACCCTCTGCTCCCCCCCTCTTCGGCCCCTGGGTTCCCTCGGCCGCCCCCCGGCCCGAGCATTTCCCGGGAGGAGCAGCACCCCGCCGCGGCAACGCCCGGCCCACCGCAGGGCCGCCGCCATGGGAGGAAGCAAGCCGCGCGGAATCAAGTGCGCGCGCAAGCTCGTGATCCGGCGCCGCTCGCAGCTCTGGGCGGACAAGGACCGGGCTCTCGGACGGGGCTGGGACGGAGGCTTGGTCTAGGCCTCCTAGATGGGGTCCGAGTAGATGGGGTCAAAGCATCGCCCCGCATCGCCGATGCATCGGTGATGCGGCTCGATGTGGAGCCCGACTTGCTTCACGCCGACGTCGCCGATGCATCGCCTACATCGCCGATGCATCGCCGACGTCGACGATGAATCACTGGTGCATCGCCCGTACATCGCCGATGCAGCGCGGATGTATTGGAGATACGGCGCGATCCTCCGACCCCATCTACTCCGACACCAGTAAGGAGGCCTCTAGATGAAGGGCGAGAATATCGACTAGAGGCAAGAGTGACCTTTCGCCCGAGTGACCTCTGGTGCGGGCCCAAAGGGGTTCCCCGGATCGCTAAAAGCGCGAAGCGGCAGCAGCGGCTCGCGCGCCTCGGTTTGGCCACCCCGCGTTCCCCGTGAAGCCGCGCACCAAAGATCACTCTCGCCTATGGTCACTCTTGCGTTTAGCGGAGGATAGATCCGTTCCAGAGCGTTCCGGATCGCTCTGAGAGGCGCGCGAGACATCTTCCAGAGCCGCGGGATCTCAGAGATTCTCGATGTATCTCCATCCGATGTGATCTTCGTCCTGGCGTGTTTTCAAGAATTGGGCGTTGACAGGCTTCCCCAGGGTTCTCTTCCGCGCCCGCTCGGCGTCGGATCCCGTTCGGCCGCCGCATGGACTCACGATCGAGCCCGTTGGGCGGCCGAGCGGGCTCGATTCTCTCGACCCTGTCGGAGCTGAGCCTGTTCGGCTGTCCATTCGGCGGCCGAACGGGCTCAGGTGTCGAATGGACTCAGAAGGGAACCGTGGGGTTCCTCCCGTCTTGAGAATCACGGCGGGGAGGTTTTGCTAGTTTTCGGTTCCCGCTCGAATCGCAGCGGGGGGTGCTAAGGACAGGCGGAATATGAGCAGATGCTGAGATGGGTCGTACTGGTCCACCTGGCTCGTGAGATTGTTACAGGTGCCATGAGTTGCTCTTGGGATTTTACGTGGCTGAGCCCACTAGGCTCGGATGTTTGCTCTATTGCGTCACTCGGGGCACTTGCAATCAACGTGTAGCCTCGATTGGGTCAGCTAGGACCCACCTTGGCATCCGCTTGTCCCCCCCCTATCCTCTTAGCAACCCCCGCGATGATCCCAGCACGGATCCTTACAGGGCTTCAGGCCGACAGAATACAGTCAACCCGCAAAGCAAGGATGAGCATAATTCCCAAGGGTACGCTTGCATCCTTGCCCGTTCGGCCCGTCCTTAGCCACTTTCACTGGCCAGCCTCGTTCGAAAACGTCAACTTGGCCCTCCAAGGCCATTGCATCCTCACCGCGCATCCTGATGATACGGATTGCCTGTACGATTCGGGATGGAAAACTCGCGTTGTGAATCGATCACGACGCCGGAGGCTTGGGTTGCCAGGGATTGCCCTGGCCCAGGGTCTCTTCGAGCTTTCCAACGGGAGGTGCATGTGGCCTCCAGGGCACCCCTCACGAGGTCCACAGGGCCACAGGGGATTCATCTGGACGCTCGAAAGGGGCACGGTCAAAACTGGGCACAAAGCCCGGCAACAAATGTTGTCCCAAACCAACAGCGGCCGCTGTCGGACAGGCGGCCTTCTGTCTCGAGCGGACGACGGCCGCGGCGACGCCGGCAACGAGCCTGGTCTCAGGATGAGCGAGGGCGGCTGCTGGGCTTTGTACCCGTTCTTTCCGTGCAGCCGGGCCGAGGTATAAGATCGAGGTCGCTTCGGGGAGGGGACCTCGGTGTACTTCGTGTCTGTTTGATGCTGTCGTGCGCCCTGGGCAGGGTGCCCTTGGATGTTCTGTGTGCTTTGGCCAGTGGAGGGCCTCGTGTGCTTGAAGGACGTCCTTCTGGTCCAGGTCCGGCGGCCCCCCTCTCCGTGGCCCCGGCTCCCGAGTGACCCGAGGAGCTCGGGGGCCCCCTCGGGCCGGGGCCACCCCCGGCACCCCGCGAGAGGACTACAAGAAGGCCAACCTCGGTGCCCGCGCGGGCCCGCGCGAAAAGCCGTCGGGGGGGGGGGGGGGGAGCCGTGGGGGTGGGGGGGGGGGGCCTTCCACGCTGCTGTTCGCCGCTCCCTGCCTCCTCTCCCACAGAGCCCCCTCAGCCTCCTCCTCCTCCTCCTCCGCCTCCTCCTCTCCTCCTCCTCCTCCTCCTCCTCCCTCCTCCTCCTCCTCCCTCAGCCTCCTCCTCCTCCGAGCCAAAATATCAAGCACCCCGAGACCCTCGTTCCTCCTCCCTTTCTCCCCGCCCTCCTCTCCCGCGGACCCCCCCCCCCCTTGCACCTGCCTATAACATCATCTGCGGCGCACGTGGCGCCGCCTCCGATGCCGCTCCGCCTCATCTTCGCGAGGTCGCTCGACCCCTTCCCGGGTGCCAGCTGTGCATCCCGGGCTGGTTCCTGAGATGGCCTCGGAGCCTGGATCGGAGGCCCCCAGACGGTGTGGTGACCACACCGTGTGGTGAGTCGGTGGGGATTCGGGGGGGGGGGTTGCCGCACGGTTTTGGGACTCGAGTCATTCTCCGAGGATGTCTTGGGCGACGGGGGCCTCCAGGACCCCGAGACCGTGCGGTGACTGACCGTTCGGCGAGGTCTCTTGGGGCTCCGAGGTCGCCACACGGCCCGTCACACGGTTTTGGGATCCCCAACTGGAACGGACTTCCAGAGTTCCGTCGGGCCTGTCCCCTCTACAGGGGGAACATTCAAAAGTAGTTTGAAAATTGCCTGGGGTCCGTTTTGTGGGCATGTTCTTACCATTTGGGCGTATTTTTTGCGTATTTTATACTTTTCGTTGGAAATCCCCCAGCAGGGGGACACGCCCGACTTAATTCCAGAGGCCGGGGTGGAAGGGAGATGGCAGCCTCGGCAGAAGCGCAGCGCCGGAGCCCTGGGCTCCTTCTCCTCCTCTCCCCTCTCCGTCTCCTCCTCCTCATCCTTCTCCTCCTCCTCCCCCTCCTCCTCCTCCTCTTCCTCCTCCTCCTCCTCCTCCTCCTCCTCCTCTTCCTCCTCCTCCTCCTCTTCTCCTCCTCCTCTCCTCCTCCTCTCCTCCTCCTCCTCCTCCTCCACCTCCCCCCCTCCTTCTTCCTCCTCCTCCTCCTCCTCCTCCTCCTCCTCCTCCTCCTCCTCCTCCCCCTCCTCCCCCCTCCTCGTCCTCCCTCAAACCCCTCATCCTCCTGATCCTTATCCTAATTACCCCTCCTCCTCCTCCTCCTCCTCCTCGTCCTCCTCCTCCTCATCCTCCTGCTCTTCCTCCTCCTCTCCTGATCATCTCCTCACTCTCGCCCTCCTCGGCCCCCCCGCCTCTACACCTGCACACTCTGAACACCGCTCTCTTCTCTCCCCCGACTTCGTCTGGAAGTTCGCCCGCCTTCTCCACGCAGTGGCTCACGCACACACACACACACACACACAGGATGCCACCGGTTGTTTTCGTATGGCTGTTTGCAATCCGTTGTTCGTTATGGTGTTTAATATGAGTGCTTCCGTTGCAGCGTGGGCTATCGCCCCCCTCAGTTCCCCTGCGCCTTGGCTGGGTCCTCCTGCTCCTCCCGCTCCTCTCACTCCAGGTCCTGCTGCTGCTGGTTGTGCTTGTCCTCCTCCCTTCTTCTCCTCGGGTTCCTCCTGCTCATCCGCCACCTTCGCAGCTGTATGCAGCTCCCTCTTCTCCGTTTGCGAAACACGATGGAGTCCTCTTTGGAGTTCCAGGTCCGCTATGACGCGCGTCGGTGGACAGCGAAGAAGCAGCGCAATGGGAAGGGATGGGTGGGAGGGGTCGGATGTACGAGCGCACCTAGGTTGCCTCCTTCTCCTCATCCCCCTCCAAGCTCCTCTCCTCTGCAGTTCTGGCCGCAGGGGTGGGCCACATGCACGTCTGAAGCTTGGCAGGCTTGCTTGGGTGGTCGGGGGGGAGCCGTAGCAAGCTGCGCGTGAATGAACACTCTCGGCGGTGAGCTGGTATGAAAGCGCTCAGGCCGCCTTGCAGGTGGGATTGGCTCTAGGGGTGTGTGATGTCGGCCGCCCGCCCCGCCCCCCTTGGCATCGCTCGGACGTGTGAATTTTTCCTTCGGCGGGGACCATCGAGGAGCATCCTCGACCCTTTGGCGAAAAAAACACGCACGAAATCAGAAACAAAACACAGGGAATGGACGTCCGAGCGATGGCCAGGGGGTGTGTGATGCCGGCCGCCCGCCCCCCCCCCGAAGGTACCAAGTACAAGTGCAATCCCTTCGGCGGCACGTCGCACGCCAAGGGCATCGTCGTGGAGAAGATCGGCATCGAGGCCAAGCAGCCGAACTCCGCCATCCGCAAGTGCTGCCGGGTGCAGCTCATCAAGAACGGCAAGAAGGTGCCCACGCGCGGGAGCACGCGGGGCCCAGACGCTTTTTCAGAGCCCCAACGCGGTGGGGCCTCCCCCTCATCCTCCTCCTCCTCCTCCTCCTTCCCCTCCCCCCTCCTCCTCGTTTTTCCCTGCCTGCCCTCCTCCTCTTCCTCCTTCTCCTCCTCCTCCTCCCCCTCCCCCTTCCCCATCCTCCGCGTCCCTTCCTGCCTGCCCTCCTCCTCCTCTTCCCCTTCCTCCGCCTTCTCCTTCTCCTCCTCCACCTCCTCCTCGCGATGGTGATGATGTGTATGATGAGTACGATGGCCCAGCACGCGGTGCCCAGACGCGGGAGCACGCGGGTAGCTCGGGTCAGGGCTAACTCGGATTCGTTTTTCTGGATTCCGAACCCGAGTTACCCCGGGCCCGAGTTACCCCGGGTAATTCGGGCGTCCAGAGCCCCAAATCATCAGGGGTAACTCAGGTCAGGTCTAACTCGGGTTCGTTTTTGCGGGGACCCAAACACGAGTTGCCCCAGACCCGAGTTATCCCGGATAACTCGGGCGCCCAACTTTTTTTTGGCGTCTCGCAAAAATCTTGACGAAGGGCTTTTGACCTCCACAGGGGAACGAACACTGCCACAAAGCATAGACATGAAAAACTCGGAGGTCCGCGCGGATTTCTCGGATCGGCGCTGGATCACCCTGGCGCGCGGAGCGCGCCAGGGCGGCGCCGGAAGCGCCGCCAGGGGGCGCCAGCGCCGATCCTAGAAATCCGCGCGGACATCCGAGCTGTTATGTTTATGTCAGTGTTCGTTCCCCGAGGTTTGCGTCGCGCGAAAATCTGAACGGAGGTCGGCGGTGGACAGAACCCACACCCTGACACGTCGATTCGTGAGTTGTCATGTTTTCGGTTCTCGAGAGAGGGCGCCGCGGCCGTCACTTTCCAGGCTTGCACCCGCCTGGTGAGGGCCCGAGGTCGTTTTCACGAAGCCACGTTTTGCGAAACGGGGTTCTGTCCATCCCCGACGACTGCCTCCGACCAGGGGTCGACCTATGAACGTCGTTTTGGCGATGTCGTGGGCCGTTGTCGCTTCGGTGCTGTTTTGCAGCAAGGGCGGAGCGAAGACAGCACGAGGGGCAACGACGACAAAACGAAAGAAAAACGACAACGAAACGCCCCGTTGAGGTCGATCTCCCTGCCGTCGACCTCCAGGGCCCTCCCGGGCCCCCCCCCGGGACGCGAGCAGAGAGTCAGCGCCGCAAGGCCCGCCGGATGGTGCCGAGAGCGGGCCCCCTTGGGGAGGGCGCCAGCGCCCCCAGGGGCTATGATGTTCTACTCGGCATCGCTCGGACGTGTGCATTTTGCTTTCGGCGATGACCATCGAGGAGCATCCTTGATCATTTGGCGAAAAAGCCACGCACGAAACCAAAAAAAAAAAGCACAGGGAGTGGACGTCCGAGCGATGGCGAGTCCAACCTTCTTTGGCCTGGATCACCAGAAAGAACTTCGAGCACCAGACAAGTACCGAAACTCTAGGGTTTTCGCGTGCCGGGCCCTGGAAGGCACTCGTTCGACATTGTTTGGACACTTTTCTCCGGGTGCTCGAACTTATTTCGGGGAGGTGGTCCTCGAGGACGGGGGGGCCCCCCGAGGGGGGGCCCACACTGCGGAGCGGTCGCGGCGTCCGGGCTCCTGGGGGGTCTGGGGTGAAGCTGGGCGTGTCCCTCTGCAGGAGGAATATCCAAAAATAGTATGAAAAACACTCTTGGAGCGATTTGTAGCTATTGTTGTGTGTGTATTTATATAAATCTACTGGGGTATGTTTGACTTCTCGTCCGAAGTCCGACGGGGACCAGATAAGCAAAGGGGCCCACTTGGGGCGCCTGCTGGCTCCGCAAGGGGCCCCAAACTTCCCCCCTTCAGAGCCCTGCTCCCCAGCACTCGGCGAGGACAAGGGGTACGGTTACTCGGGGGTGGACAGTACCCCCAACCTGCTTTAGCCTGGATCACCAGAAAGAATGTCGAGCACCAAGAAAGTGCCGAAGCTGGAGGGTTCGCACGTGCCGGGCCCTGGAAGGCACATACTCGTTCGACACTGTTTGGACACTTTTCTCCGGGTGCTCGAAATGATTTCGGGGAGGTGGTCCTTGCGGACGGGGGGACCCCCCGAGGGGGGGGCCCACGCTGCGGAGCGGTCGCGGCGTCGGGGGCCTCCTCGGAGCCCTGCCCTCCACCTGCTCAGATCACCCCCCATCGCCACCCGCCCCAGCACTCGGCGGGGGTAAGGGGTATGATTACTCAGGGGTGGACAGAACCCCCAACAGTGACACGTCGATTAGTGAATTGTCCGTTTGCGGTTCTCGAGAGGGCGCCGTGGCCGTTATTTTCCAGGCTTGCGCCCGCCAGGTTTGGGCCTCAGGTCGTTTTCACTAAACCACGTTTTACTAAAGGGGGGTCTGTCCATCCCCGAGTTACGCCGGGGTGTGGTCTGCGATCGGCACCGTTTGGGCCCGCGGAGCACGACGCTGTCCTCGTCGGGCCGCCTCGGGGCGCGGAAGGGCAGGCTCTCGAGGTCCCCGCCCGCCCCCCAGGATGCTCCTCCAGGGTGCTGGTTGCAATCCACACACCCTTTGCAAACCACACCCTTGGGGGGGCCCCAGGATGCCCCTCCAGGGTGCTGGTTACAATCCACACACACCCTTTGCAAACCACACCCTTGGGGGGGGGGGGGGGCGCGTCGCGGGGCCAAGGTCGCTCGCAAATTCCGGCACGCCTCGCACAAAAGGTCACTCTGGCTTGGGATCATGGTTATGTCCAGCCGAAGCAAATGCCTGTGGGCCCCGCCACACAGCAGCGCCCTGGGTTGTTGAATCGGTTTTCTGGTCTGCTCGTGGGTGGCGTCGTCATTGAGAGTCGTTGATCGGCCTCTCCACACCAGCGGTTGACGACTGTTGTTTCAGTCTGTCCACATGTGTTTTGTTTACGCGCGGCTCCTTTGTCCTCCCTCCGCTCCTGCACGCCGGACACTTAGCTCAGTAGTGCCCCTGCTTTGCTCTTTCGCTGGTGCGGATTGCCTTTGCCTCGCCGCCGACGAAAAACAGTTTGTTGTTGAAGCCGTCATCTTGCATCAGACTGGCCACAGGCTGGGTGCATCCTACAGCCATTGCGCTGGAATACGACCCAACTCGGGTTCGGAAGGGGCTACGAGCAGGTGATTCCTTGGGTCTGGTTGCGTTCCTTCGCGAGTTCTTGCCAGGAGGCCCGACCCGCCGGCTTCGGCAGAGGGAGGGATTATTTTTCGGGGATGGACAGAGCCCCTACCCTGACACGTCGATTAGTGAATTGTCCGTTTTCGGTTCTCGAGAGGGCACTGCGGCCGTCTTTTTCCAGATTTGCGCCCGCCAGGTTTGGGCCCGAGGTCGTCTTCACTAAACCACGTTTTACTAAAGGGGGTTCTGTCCATCCCCGAATTTGCAGAACGAGAGGCAAGGACGAGGGAGCGCCTCCAGAAAGGGACTCCGCCGTTCCGCAGGAACGTGTATGACTTGGTGCTGATAAGAGGGGTGTCGTTCCTTCTTTCGCGCTCCGTCTGGCAGCGCAATGTTTGCAGGGGGGGGGGGGGAGAATTGGGAGGGAGAGGAACGCTAAGTAAGGAACGAAGCCCCTTTTTGGCTCTGAAAGCGCCTCCGTTCCCAAGGAGGGCAAGTGGAACAGCAATGAAGGAACCTGAGGAACATCGAGCCCCTTCCGAACCCAAATTGTTCCTTACTTCAGCGACTTGACTGCAGCGCGCCTGGCAACCCCCTCGTCCGCGCACGTGCCTTCGGCGCACCCAACCGTCTTGGGCCCCCACACGGTGCGGTGACCACACCGCGCGGTGAGCCAGTGGGGGTTCGGGGTCACCGCACGGTTTTGGGGACTCGGGTCTTTCTCCGAGGACGTCTCTCAGGAGGGAAAGAAACACACAGACACAATTAATCGTCGAGTGCCAGGAAAATATGGGAAAATATGGGGATTGGGCGGGAAGACAACAACCCAGAAAATATGGGGAAATATGGGGAATCATTTAATTTGTGTGTATTTATTTGTGTGTCCCAGGGCCCCTTCAGTCTCGGGCGACGGGGGCCGCCGAGGTCCCAAGACCGTGCGGCGACGGACCGTGCGGCGAGGTCTTTGGGGAATCTCGAGGTCACCGCACGGTGCGGTCAACGCACCGCTTCGGGACTCCCAAAAAACCGTCGGCGCGCGTCGGAGGCCGCGGGCGGGAAGCACTTCTGGGTCCACGTCCACGGCCTCGCGGTGCGGACTGCCGTGGGCACAGGGCTGTGCTGCGCGGATGCCCCGCGCGGAGCGTGCCCCTGGGATGGCGTATCCGTGGGACACCGCCCAGACCAGGAGTGCATGGACTCAGGAGAGAAAGAAACACACACACACAGACACAATGAATCGTCGATTCCCCAGAAAATATGGGAAAATATAGGAAGTGGGGGGAAGACAAAAACCAAGAAAATATGGGGGATCTGGTTATTTGTGTTTCCCCACATCCAAAGTGGGGTTCTTGTTCCCCACATCCAAAGTGGGGTTCTTGTTTTCTCTGGACACCCCGCGCAGGAACAGGAACACACACACACACTCACACTCACTCACACTCTCTCATCATCAACCTCATCAGCATCATCGATGATGCTCTCTCACATGCTTAGTCACTCACATACTCATCATCATCATCACTCGCACTCTCTCACACGCTCACGAACATCATCATCATCATCATCGGCATCGGCATCATCCTCATTCAAACATCATCATCGCCACCACCACTCACAATCAATCATCATCCTCTTCACCATCTTCACCACCACTCATCATCCTCATCCTCATCATCGTTGAGTAAAGTGTGAGGAAGTCTCAGGCTATGGGGCCCGCAGATCATGTTGGTAATCCGAGCGGGTCATCGGAAACCTGTAACTGTCGTCACTTTTGGGCTCGTCAAGCCTGAAAATGGAGGAAGTCTCAGGCGGGAGCTT